CGCTATGGGTCGGAACCGACTCGACGGCACTTAACAACAACAAATATATATATATATATTTCATATGTTTCACTTCTTTAGAAAACCCAGTCTAAGATGGGGAGGTTGGCAGAGGAAAGATGAAGGTAGCAGAAGACACAGCAAGGAATGCAAGAGTTAATGAATAGAGGTAAACACTGATAATTGACGGTACAGGAAGGGGATTACAATCATTGTAGTGAAATGAAATAAATGACTTGTTGAATGTGAAACTGATGATGGGCTCTGTAAATCTTCACTTAATTTACAATAAAAAGTTTTAAAAAAAGAAAAAAAAGAATTGGTCAATGATCAACCATATCAAAAGGTAGCATATTATCAAGAATTGATGGGATTGAAGAAGTTTCAGCTGTACTGAAAATATTGGCAAAAAATAAGACTGTGGAATTGATAGAATATCAATTGAGGTGTTTCAACAAATGGATGTAAGGCTGGAAGTGCTAATTTATCTATGCCAAGAAATTCGGAAGAAGCTATCTGACCAATTAGCTGGAAGACATTCATATTTGTGTCCATTCCAAAGAAAGGTGATGCAACAGAATGTAGAAATTATTGAACTATATCATTAATATAACACACAAGTAAAATTTTATTAAATATAATTTTTAAATGGCTGTAGCAGATATTGATGAGACTGCCAGAAATTCAAGCTGGACTCAGAAAAAGATGTGGATCAATGGATATTGCTGATGCCAGATGCATTTTGGCTGAAAGCAGAGACTATCAAAAAGATGTATGTGTTTTATCAGCTAAGCTAAGGCATTCAACTGTGTGAATTGTAACAAATTATGGATAACATTTACAAAGAATGGGAAATCCAGAATGTTTGCTCCTGTGGAACCTGTACATCGACAAAGACGCAGTCCTTGGAACAGAATAGGGGACACTGTATGGTTTAAAAGGAGCCTTGGTAGTGCTGAAGGATAAGCACTGGACTGTTAACCACAAGGTTGGCAGTTTAGCCTCTTCATAGGAGAAAGATGAGGATTTCTGCTTCCATAAAGATTTACAGTCTCAGAAACTTTTGTTGTTGTTACAACTCATACATGGTCCTATGAGTTGGAATCTACTTCATGGCAATGGCTTTTTGGTTTGATGTGAAGTAAAAGTAGCCTTGGAGTTCTGGTGTGGCACTATAGAATAATGCACTGAACTGCAAGGTCATTTGAATTGCAAGGCTGGAGGTCCAAACCCACCAGCTGCTCCTCAGAAATCCTATACAGGATTGCTATGAGTCAGAACCGATTCGATAGCACTTAACCACAAAAGCAGCACTGGTGGTGCTACAGTATAAGCACTGGACTGCTGACCACAGATGGACAGTTCTAGCACAACAGCTGCTCTTTGGGAGAAAGATGAGGCTGTCTGCTCCTATAAAGATTCAGTCTCAAAAACACTGTACAGGGGTCCCTATGAATCAGAATTAACTCAATGGCAGTGGGTTTTGGGGTGTGATTTAAAACCAGGAAAGGTGTGTATCAGGGTTGTATCCTTTCACCAGACTAATTCAATTTGTATATTGAGCAAATAATCTAAGAAACTGGACTATATGAAGAAGAACATGGCATCTGGATTGGAAGAAGGCTCATCAACAACCTATGATATGCAGATGACACAACTTGCTTACTGAAAGTGAAGAGGACTTAAAATGCTGATGAAGATTAAAGTCTTCAGTGTGGGTTATGCCTCAACATGAAACAAAAATCCTCACACTGGACCAATAAAATCATGATAAACGAAGAAAAGATTGAAGTTGTCAGGGGTTTCCTTTTACTTGGATCCACAATCAATGTCTATGGAAGCTGCAGTTAAGAAATCAATGTATTTCATTGGGCAAACCTGCTGCAAAAGATCTTTTAAAGTATTTTACAGCAAAGATGTCACTTGGAGGGAGGACTAAGGTATACCTGACCTAAGTCATGGTGTTTTCAATCATATGCATGCAAAGGATGGAGAATGAATAAAGAAGACCGAAGAATTGATACATTTGAACTATGGTGTTAGTGAAGAATATTGAATACAGCATTGACTGCCAGAAAAACAAATAAATCTATCTTGGAAGAAGTACAGCTAGAATGCTCCTTAGAAGCAAAGATGAAAGACTGCCCCGTACTTTGGACATGTTAATAGGAAAGAGCAGTCCCTGGAGAAGGACATCATACTTGGCGAAGTAGAGGGTCAGGTCAAGGAGAAGGATTGTCATAGTGGCTGCAACAGTGGGCTCAAACATAGAAATTATCATGAACTTGGTGAAAGATTTGGAAGTGTTTTGTTCTGTTGCAGTGTCTCGCAGTGAATCAGAACCTACTTCATGGCACCAAACAATCACATTTACATTTGTGTTTCTTGAGGAAAATGTGTGTGTGTGGGGGGGAGGGGGGAGCGCTGAGGGCGGGGAGGGAGAAGGAAAGACCTGAATAGCCATGGTTTCCAAGAAGGAGCCAAATTTTCTACCCCAAAGAGGCTCAAGAAAGTACTCCAACTCCAGTTCAGGGAGAATCCAATCCGCAATTTTTCTCTTCCTTTGACTCTTTGCTGGTTATGCTACTAGCGAAGGGGAGATATTAGTTACTCAGCCCTACACGAGGCCGGCTAGTCCTTGGTCTTTTAGGAAAGCGGGACCGAAGTTCAGGAGTCAAGAGCAAAGGGCCAGAAGTGTCACATGCGAATAGACCGGAGCGGGCTACACGGAACCACAACTCCCAGTCTGCCCTGCGCCAAAAGCACTTGGCAGGGAGCTCGAGCCCCGTTGCCCTCTCTGGCCAATGGACGGAAGAAAGAGGTCTGACCCGGATTCTCGGGGACCAATGGTAGAACAAAGGAGGAGGGTGCTTCCTTACTACTCACCTTGAACTGAGAAAAGCTACATTTAAAAGGTCGTGTAGGTACGGGTTCTCGCAGACGGAGAGGCCAGAATTGGAAAGCGCGGCGTCAATTCCCCAAAAGCCACGCTAGAGACATCCAGGTCTTACAAAAGCGCGCTCAGGACGTCCTAGGGGGCGGGATTAGGGGCGGGGTCTGGCCTCGTTGTGGAGCGGCTCGTAATCCATCATGGCGGCCGCGAGGGTCGAAGTCTTTCCCTGAGCAACGCTGGAGCCAGAGCCGGTTCCCGGGTCCTGCAGCTGAGCAGCCCTTCCGTTGTTCATAGTCCCTCCCGCCGGTGGGAGGCCGAGTCTTGCGGAGGAGCTCGGGGGATGTGACTACCTGGCGGCGGCGGTGGTGGTGGCCGCGTCTGGGACCGGGGGAGGGGGTGTCTCAGGCTGAGCCCCTTAGGCTTGGAGCAGCTGAGGCGGCTGGGCCTCCTCCCCTCTGCACCCGCCTGCCGACTTAGGACCGTGAGGGTAGTTCGTGCCATACAGCCCCATTCGGGCTTCTGGGATATTAGGGGTGGTCTCTACTCTCCCCCAGACCTGCAACACCCTGTTTCCTGAGGCGTGGAGGAGCATAGTCCGGGAGTAAGCAGTCGGTGCCCCGCCCGGGCAACCTCCTTTTTACTCCCAAGCTGCTCTTTGCTCTCATTCCTGGCCCCAAGTTTGGCCTTGGAGCCCCTCCATTCAAATTTCTTTCCCGCTGTCAAGTGGTCTCCCTCCGCCCCCACTCCCCACCCCCAGGTTGCTCCCGCGAGTCTCTTAATGCCCTGACTTCCAATGTCACCTACGGACCCCTTAGTCTCAGCCCAGCCAAAAACTTTAATGCAAAGGAAAAGTCTGGACTGGTTTCACAGGCCTTTTAAAAAGCGGACTTAAAAAGTTGCTGGCAATGCATTCCTTCTCGACCGAGTGGAAGGCAAGCTCTCACTGAAATCTGGGTGACCTGAGTCCTTTTCCGGAGAGAAGTGTAGAGAAGCGGGAGCAGCAGCCACTTCGGCAGGAAATTTGTTGGAAGATGAAGAAACCAAGATAGAGGGTGGGTGACTTCCACAGGAAAAGTTCTGGAGGAGCATATACAGAACATCAACATTTCCTTTAAGTGTGGGAATCCAAATGACTTTTGTATCATTGACCCTTTTACAGCATTCCCTGTATTATTTCTGTTTTAAGTTCATCTTCTTGAAAAGAAAGACATTGACAGTAAAAGACATTTAATATCAAACTTTTGAGTAGCATTACTTCAAATTGATTGCGAAAATAATTGGAGCTCCTGTTTACATGGGTCAACCTAAAAACTGCTTTGCTCTGGTTTTGGAAGATGTCTTTTCTTGATTGACCTCAATTACTGACTTGTGGAGATGCAGTGAATGTGAAATCCCACATATATACCCTTTTTCATTTTAAGCTTACTGACTGTTCTGGAATATCTTGAGCCCTTTTCTGGAAAGGGGTCCCTATTATTACTTTATGGGGCAACAGCCTGGAAAAGTTCTTGGGGACCAACGAAGGCCGAGTTTGCCTGCCCTGCACTTTATCAAGGGAGCAGGGAAGAAGGAATCATCAAGGCATGGGGGTCCACACTGCAATGTTTTTGTGGAACATGGTGAGTGCTTTTCATGATTTCTTAAGTTGTCTTTTACTTTGTGTATTGAGTTGAGGCTGTGTATTCAGCTTAGGCGTCAAGGTACTGTTAAGTACTGTGTCAGATCATTCCAATACTGCTTAAGTCTTCTGTTAATGTACAATCTCTTAGTTTTTGGTTGAACTTTTACTTTGTATAGGAAAAAGATATTTTGGTTCTGAATGACTTTAGTTCAAACTCTTTGAGTTGCTTGTTCTTGCCTTATTCTGCTGCTAACTTACTTTTGACCTTGGACAAGCCATTTGATGGTTCCAGGGCCTCAGTTTCCTGAGGGGGTTGGATTTAGGTGGTTTCTTAGGCTCTGTAAATTTGATTCTGTTCTAATCTAGGGCATGGCTCTTCACTTGAGATGCATCTATGTTTTTTGGGGGTGTGTGCATTTATCTACAGCTAACTTTTATCATATTCTCAATGTGGTTTGTGTTCCCCAAACGATTAAGAACCACAGATCCTAGTTAACACTAACATCCTTGACCTTTTCAATCATAAGTAGGACTTGAAAATCCTCAGTTTGGAGTTATGTGGGGAAAATTGAGTGGGGAGGCAGCATTCTTTGTGAATTGTGCTCTTAATTATTTTGCCTTACAGGAGGAGTGATCCTCTCTCCCATTTAATGAGCTTTTATCCTCCTCTGTGTAGAATGACATTTTGGGCAAAAAGGTTTTGTTTGACATTTTTATGAGCATAGTTGGTATTTGAGTGCTGATGGTACAAATTATCCTATTCGCTTACAGGAATTCTGTATGAAGTTAAAACTAAGGGTCAGCTTAAACTGAAGTCTGTAACAGGCCAGCTTTGAACTAATTAATTAGGGTCCTGTTTGTACAGTTGGAGCTGGCTGTTTTCAGATTGTATATTTTATATTAAAATATCAATTAAGTCCACCCAAACTATAAGCAAATATATGTGCAAGTGGCATATATGTACTTAGAAATTCAGTCAAAAATACCTTTCAACAGCAAGTAAACAAAGGCTGTTCATTGAACGCCCACGTGACAGGTAAAGTTTGACATTTAACAGAAAAAACACTCACCTTACCTAAGTACACATGTGGGTACCTGGATTTTACTTTGCCTTGAAATAGTAATTATATTTTAGCATTGCTTTTAGACAGGCAAGTGTGGTAATGTGTCACTTGATAGTGCTTGTTCAATTCAGGAGTTAAAAATGGAATTCTTTACCTTTTAAGTAAAACTTGGTACACATTTTTCTTCTTTTTATATTGAATTGGTGAAGATTTAGAGAGATCAGTTCTCCATTGAACAATTTATACTTACTTTATTTCATCTCATTGATTGCAGTTCCAATAATGAAACATCACTTACCCACTTTCTCCCTCTGTTTCCATTCCTCCTCCTTTCATAGTCCTGAACTTTGTCCTTGGGCAAAGACTATCCTTTTGATCTCAAATGGTTGCTTATTCTAAGGTGTGTGTCCCTTCCTAGTGTTAATGTTCCCCTTATAGACCTGTCTGTTAATTCACTGAAAATTGAGCCTTGAAGGGAGTTCAGTCAGTTCCAGACCTGAAGGGTATCTAAGGACCATAGTCTTGGGGGTTCCACCAATCTCTGTCTGACCATTAAGTCATGTATTTTTTAAATAGGATTGTGAGTTTTGTTTCCACAGGTTTCTCCTACTCTATCTAATGTGATCTCATTCACAGCAGTTGGCACAGACTTTTTGGAGGACTTTGGCAGAGTTTATCAGAATTTAAAATGGACATACCAATGACCCAGTCATTTCACTTCTAGGAAATTTTACAGTGTAGAACATTTTAATGCCCTAAGTGTCCCTGATATTCCTTCAGGGGAGCTAGAGGTTAAATATTTTCATATTAATACAGTACCACAATGAATTTGCCTCTTTCACTGTGTTGATATCCATACTAATGGTGAGAACTATTGGAGGTGCCTTAGCATGAATCAAGGCAAGGGTACCCAACTGGCCAGTAGCCCTTGTATTCTTTATGCCAGGTACTCACAGTATAAAAACAATAAAAAAAAATCAAGCTAATTTCACCTAAGAATGTTTTTGATGAAGCAGCAAAAATTACTCATTTTATTAAGCCTTGACCCTTGAGTACATGTCTTTTTAGCATTCTGTAGGATACTAAAATGGGAAGTGTGCATAAAGTACTTGTGTGTACTGAAATGTGATGGTTATACTGGGAAAGACAGAAAAATACTTGGGCATCAGTTTGAGTTGCAAGCTGAACTAGTTGCACTTTTTATGAAAGTCATTGGAACAATGACTAACAGACAAACCATAGTTATTTACACTTGTATATTTGGCAGATTTTCTCAAAACTCTGTGAAGGAGTCTGTCCCTTCAAAGAAAACAGCTGATAATATCTGATACCAATGATAAAATTCAAGTGAAATTTAGAATTTCATAAAACTTGTACACATATGCCACTTTGTAGAGAGATTTGTGATACAGAGATAGGTGGCCCTATTTACCAGTGTAGTATTTTGAAACCTTATAAGGAAGTGTCAGGAGCTTTGATGGTCCACTGGCTAAGCACTTGGCTGATAATTAAAGGTTAGCGGTTCTAATCCACCAGCCACTTTGTGGGAGAAAGATGTGGCCGTCTGCTTCTGTAACTATTTATAGCCTTGGGAACCCTATGGGGCATTTCGTCTCTGTCCAGTAAGATCACAGTAAGTTGGAATTGACTCAGTGACAATGGGTTTGGTTTTATAATGTTTTGTTTGGAAAACCTACATACTTCAGTGAGCCAGTATTTTATAAATGACCAATGTTTGGTATTAAAAATCACACACTGGTAAAAGATTTATTCAAAGTACAAGTTGGTGATGTTAAGTTGAACCAGTCGAGTTGGTTCTGATTCATAGCGACTGTGCATGGGGTTTCCTAGATTGTAAATCTTTACAGGAACAGAAAGCCTCATCATTCTCCCATGGCAGTACTGGTGGGCTTGAACTGGTAATCTTGTGGTTTGCAGTCCAGTGCTTGTCTTATAGAGCCATTGTGCTCCCAAGTATAAGCTGTTCTTATTGTTATTAAGTGCCGTCAAGTGGGTTCTGACTCATATCGACCCTATATAGGGTTTATGAGGAGTTACTGAGCATGCAAAAGCTGGACAGTGACTAAGGAAGACCGTAGAAGAATTGATTCTTTTGAGTTATGGTGGTGGAGGAGAATATTGAAAGTGCCATGGGCTGCCAAAAGAACCAATAGATCTGTTTTGGAAGAAGTGCAGCCAGAGTGCTCCTTGGAGGCCAAGATGGCCA